ATGTCGATTGGGGCATGCAGATACTCTGAGCGTCGGTTATATATTGGACCTGGTGTTACCAAGTTTCAAAGGAATCGCACCCTCCTGAGGTGAAGAAAGCCTTAAACTTCAATCCTAAATTACTTATTACCTAACTTGTATGGTTTGGCATAGACAATAAATGTATGAATGATTGGCATGTTTTGCCATTTGACTGGAACTTTTTTATTTGTAACCTAGCTCAGCATCAATATTAGCTTTTCAAATCACCTAAGTTTTGAAGATTAAAGTAGTCTCCGAATGCGAAAAGTTAAAAGTCTCACACAAAGTGTGACCATAAGCTGAAAGTCCGACGTTTGCTTACCCATGAATACGTCCACTATGCCTTTTTATGCCCGTATATTGTCTCAAGTTGTAACTGTCTTAAGGCTGACCTTGTAGGATTCGTTTCTCACAAATACAACGAAATTTATTCAATCAAGCCTCAAAATAGTGTGGCGATTCAATTGCATAGATGGCTGTGAGCGTTGATATACTGAAAACTTCTAATAACTTAGGCCTAAAAAAATTTGCGAAATTTCGAAGTTGGTAGAGAGTGGTAGGAAGATACAGAAGTTCTTACTACCAGAGTGGTAGCCGCTGTTCCGCTAAGACGCTTACATCATTTGAAGAAGGTAATAATGGGGAAGGCACTCCAACTTCCTTTTCTGCCGCTTGTTTTTGCTGACACTGAAATGCGCACGCTGTCAAGCAAATTTGAATGAAGATCGCTATATATCAGACGACAGACACAGGTAATTTGCACCTTCGAGAAAACGGCAAGGCGGATATGCGTTGTCAGGTAATCACCACGATCATCGCTGGCTTCATAAAGCGCGACCCTCCAACATAAGTGGAAATGATTTAGGCTGTATCTAGATGAAATAACCAGTCAACAACGAAATAAAATTGCAACGCATGAACAGCTGACTATGTAGCTCACAGCTAGATCGGAGGTGATGCCTATCACCGTATAATTTGTCAGAAGTGTATTAGTATTTAACTAGTTGGAGAAGTGAGACGAGTAAGTTTTGCCTGGCATTAAACACTAATTTAAGAAACGTGGACAACAAAGGTGTTAGTGTATATCGAAATGACATCTCTACATCAATCTTTTTCTATACTCACTCTGGTATGCTATTGGGCTTGAAAACATAGATTCTCTTGCAATAATATGTTAGTGTACCAATTTTGTACTTCCAGAAAACAAAAAGAACACTAACATATTATTTAGTATACTGAGATATACTTTCTATATTTGAAGTACATGCTTAAGACAATTTTAGCCTGCTTTGCATTATAGCAGTATTAGCTTCTTACAATGACACAATCAGGCAACTACGGTGTGCGTAATGAAAGTGTATTTCATAATATTATTTTCTAGATCAAATACACTTCCAGCGTGCTTTCTGCACTGTTTCAAAAAGTAAATACTTTTAATACTTTAGTGTATTTAATTATGCCAAGAACATAAACTCTTGCTCCAGATACAAAATATACGTCGGTGTCAGGCATACATAACCTAATATTTTTTGTAGGTTATTGAACTAAACCGTTATAATTGTAATTATAGTGAAATATATTTTAACATACGCTAAAGATGTATTCCGTTTTATGAATCATAGCTGGGGGGGGGGGGGGGACCGGTAAATTTATTCTTAATCCTGGAAAACATAGGAGACAAATAATTAGTAGAGGGAACCACAAATATATTAAACTTTGCATTATTTTCTTATTTGTCTGTAATTTTGGTAATGACACCACCAGTGTCCTTTGTAGATTAGACATAAAAAAACGAACTCAGTGTCGAGCTTTCATGGTCTGACAGCACTCATTATTTACGGAGCCAAGAAGAGTCTTCAAGCCACCTGAACCTGCAGGACCCTGCTTCGCTTCATTCCGATCTGCTATGATATATCTCTATGGAGAAGCAACCTCCTATAACTTCCTTGAAATATGGATGTCTCTAATATTATTAAGCGTATCTACAGGATGGTAACATAGCGACGCTTGGTAAGTTACTATGACTCCGTCCAGGAGCGTTGCAAAAAAAAAGTCATCCATTCGTAGTCATTGAGGATCAGCCTCTATCGCTGAGGCCAGCATCGTTAGGCTATAGCCAAAAACGGCGTCACATCTAATATTGAGGAAAATATACAACAGAAAGCAGACGATGAACACCAAAACAAGCAAGAAAAACAACATGGCGTCGGCGACCGTTACAGATCAGGTTCTGGATTCTGGCCGTTCGCATCGTCTGCTTGTTTGTTGTTATGTTTCGTTTCGTGTGTTTTGCGCACGCATCGCTCCGCAGTTCTTTTTTCATTTTTATCTAACTCGACCGCCGACTAGCTTCTTAAGAGGGCTTTCACCTGTTCCACGCACGCCAAGCCTTTGTCCCCAATTCGAACTTGGCTTGACTTTGCCATGACTGCTACGAGGAACCGTTGCCGTTTTTCGCCTCGCGGCGCGTGGCGGGGGGACAAAGGGAGAGAAGGAAAGACGTAAGAAGGGGAAGGGGGGCGCCTCCTCGCCCTCGACGATCACGGTCCGCTCGTGGGGCCTTTCACTTTTAAAGCGGGAACTCGGGAATTTGGTGTGCGGACACGTCCTCGGCGCCTGGACACGGTGGTTAGGGTCAGGTTGCAAGAGCATCGTCTGCTATCAGAGCCGGCGGTTAGGTTTCGTTTTCGATTTCACCGCCCACTTTCCTGCTAGCCTTCTGCACCTCTTATGCTGTGCTCAGACTCAGTTCCGGACAGCATCATCGGTTCGTGAGAGTTTAAGACGTGATGGTGAAACTGGTGCGCTGTAGCGGTGTGTTAAATTGTCGCTGGTGATCGGAGGGGGCCTCGTGAAAATCGATCATTTCTAATCATCAGCTGTGGCTGAGAGGACGTCAGCAACGCCTGGTGAGCTTCCTTCGGATTTTTTCCTTTATGCTTGGGCACGCTATTTTAAGAATGTGAGTTTTATATTTAAGAATATCATTTTACATGTTTTTATATTTAAAAATTTAGCCTTATAATGTTTGCGTTCGTAATCAGCGATGATGGTGAGAAAACACAGGCAAGCGGGTGAACTGACTGCATGATATTAAAACGGAGACTGGCAATAATTCTCTTATTTGTTCTCAGCATCGGGTTTTTTTTATTATTGGGATGTTCTCATTCACAATTTCCATGCACTCGGAGGAACACGTGAACGTTGCTGGCCGATAAAGTTTAATAATGTTATTTATGTGACTATATTTTAAATACGAAGCCCATGACAATCTCTAGGACTGACCTGAAAATGTCTGAAGTTGGAGAGCATTAAAGATAAAATCGGAGCTTTATCTTAAAAAGTTTTAAACTCGTCGAATTTCTAAAGCCGGAAAGCTTTGTCTTTTGATCTTTAATGCGACTGAATTTTATAGAAGCATTTACGACGTTCGAGAAATTTTATAACACATTTCAAAAATCCAATGTTAGAAACCAAATCTAAATCATTGATTTTTTTTATTTTTATATCATTATGGTATTAACTTATTTGATTATTGAATCTCTTTCATGAGAAATCTATGTACATACTCGTGTGTAATATCAAATTCCCACAGCATTCGTGTTGAGCGTCATTATAATAAATATAGGAAACCTTGCTATTTGATTAAGAGCACGAATCAGAACCGATCTCAGACTGATATGAACCGTTCGAATCATTGTGTGAGCATGATCCAAACGATTCTTAAATCTGTCATCTTTTCTGTGCATCAAAATCAAGGCAATCTCGTTGTTCATGAGCACATAAAATATACTTCTGATGATGATTGTGATACGCCTCAGTAACATTAAGGTCATCGTCACAACGTTGGAATATCACGACGCAAACGAAACCAAACTTTCTATTTGTGATCTCATGGTTCTTGCTAAATTTGGAAAAGGTGAACAAGGCATGTTGTTGGGCTAGTTGGTGGTGCATACTTGTTTCGGTGGGAACAGCGCCAAAAAACGTAGAGCCAGGGCAAAGAAACACACAAAGAGGGCGCTGAAAAGGTTCAGCACTTTTAAAGAATGTCATTTCAAGAGCAAGGGCATACACCACAAAGATCCATTTATAACAGGTGCGTTACCCTGGGCATGCTACAAGCCGGTACATTTGAAAGAACATTCGGTCCGATAATAACGCAAAAATAGTTTTGACCTAGTTCTATAATAGCCCTCAAAACGACCAGAAGAGAAAGTCTGAAAGGAAAACTGACACGCATAAGTCGACTAACGCGAAGCCTTTTTTTTTTTAGATAAGATCGTTGTTATGATGGAGCTGGCAGGCAGAAACCACGGTAGTGCAAATTTTTGCTTTTGCTCAAAACGAATCTAAATGCCAGGTGCACCAATAAACAATGCGAAGTTGAATCAAAAGTCTCTATTCGGAAAAAAATTACCGTAAACAACGTTAAAAAAAAAAATATATATATAAGAATAAGATATATACATCTTCCAGATAATTAAGGTTTCCGTTGTTCCTAGTGTGTTTATTATTTTAATACTTACCCTTTCTCTATACTACTACTTATCTTTTCCAAAGTAACAAAGATGATCATGAGATTCCAAATAAAAAGCTTGGCTTAGTTTGCATCGTTCACTATTCAACCTCAATTAATGTTTTCCCCCTTAAAACGCATGTGCTGCCTGTGAGCACTGCAAGGTTAGATTTACTGCTTATTTTAGCCCCTGACAGGTTAAAAAATATATTCAAGTCTCCCGGTTGTTTTTAATCTTATCTGAGCTAGTGTCTTCCTATTCCAGAAACAAAGTTCCCGTGATAATGCAAAGAAGCAAGCGAGCTGAACAAGAATGACAATGATAATTTTATAGCTATTCTTGTCCGGCTCGCTTGCTCCTTTGCATCATCTCATAACCTTAAAAATGCAGGCTGTTCACCCTTGTTGGTGTTAGACTGGTGGCAGCTGATAAAGCCGGTCTGCTCTACTGACGTCTAACCCCTGGTTAGCTCAGTTGGTAGAGCGCTCCACTGGTGATGGAGAGGTCCCTTGTTCAATACCAGGACCGGGCAGATTTTTTGGGTCGCGCATCACAGCTGTGCTTAGAGATTTGTGTTTGTCCTTTGTCCCTCTTATTCCCCTTCTCCATGGATTATCGTCAAATTTCACGTGTTTTCATATTCGAAGAACAAAGTTATGCCAAATTGGACTAATGTTTGGAGGGCGTGTACGATGTGACTATTTTTTAAAGGCTAAACGCAAACGGACAGGGCGTTGAAGTCAGCCTAAAACACCAAGCGTTTTTTTTTATGCGCATGTCCTGATATGGACATAAAGCTAGCTACTTTTTTTAACGTTTAAGTAGGATGATGTGTTTTCGGAGTAATTTGTCGCAAAGTGCGGAGGATGAATTTGGCACTTAATTCTTCGCTAAACAGTCAAGGTTCATCAGAGTTCTTTTTTTTGGCCTCCCAATTCTCGAAAGACTCTTCCAAATTAAAACAAAAATAATATCCGGACAGAAACGCACACTAAATTTATAAGAACTCACCAGCATCAAATGATATTTGTGAAGCTACCTTTGGCATTGGTGCCCTTGCCATTGGCCATAATAACTCTCCAACAAAAGCTCTTGCCAAGAAGTGGTGCCTCAATTAAAATATACTTTGAAATAACTAAACATGGACGTAGTCAGTGGCAAGCGTAGAAGCACCAGCTGCACTGTCATCATCCTACGAAATCTACAGGTTCGTAGCTTTCACTGTCATAAAAACACTACCCTCCTCCCCCAAGAAGCGTAAATAGTATAACGCAAACTGGGAAACGGAACGGCTTTTGTCGTGACCCTGAAATAATGACCCGTTCTGAACGAACCCTGGCGCGATAAACGGAAACTGGAGTCGCCTCTTATCAGAACCACCAACCCTGTGCTTTCACGAAATTTATTTGTAAAATAACGTCTTTTTGCGTTTTATTTCTTTTTATTCGATGATCGTGTACACCAAATTCTGAGTTTTCGCGTAAATCCGAAATGATGAAAATTTGACTGGCAAGTGTTTTTCAAATTTATCGGCTTCAGCCTCAATCGAACAGAAAAGCGCAGTTCAGTGCAGATAAGTGCAAGGCAATGTACTTTCGGTTACGTTTTGAGATAAGCTGCACTCGCAAATCGAACACGGTGGTGTGCACCGGGTGCAGCTGGTTCAAAATGTGCCGGCAAATTGAGCGCAGCAAACGAGAATTTGATTATCCCGTTTGTGAGGTCGCATGATTACGAACGCACCTTGATGTAAATTTGTAAATTAGACCGAATTTATTTTACAAAGAAAGATTTGATCTGATTGTTGTCCGCGACTTTTATTAATTCAATTGTAATTTGTTTAATATTGTCCTATCGAACCGTAGGGTGTACCGTCAAGGAGATATGTTTTAAAATTATACTGATCATCCCTAAATTATATCGCAAGTGGTCACCATCTCTTGAGGTAATTTCTACTTATTTACCCACCTCCATTCTTTAAAAGAAACAAGCTTAACATCCTAAATTAGGACAACGTATATCCGAAATGTTATGTATGTTTCATTGAAGGTTTGTATGCGAAGTAATTAACAGAAATTCTTCTCCGGTTTTGTTTTCCTCAACTAAAGTAAGAACAATGATAGATGTATTAAAGGGCTTATTTTTGCTGCTTTTTGACTGCCTAGTTGATTTATTTTTCTGTCTAGGACGAGAAGCTTGTCTTGATATAACTGTATTGGTGATTATAATACAGTTGACACAATTATTTGTTGGTTGTATAATTATCATGCAGGTAAACATAAAAGTGGCTGGAGAGCATCTATACCTCTTGAAGCAAATAGCAAACACAAGATGTAATATGGCGCAGAATATGCATATGCCTCTTGCATTAATTTTTAGCCCCTTCTAACATAAAATATGTTATAATTTGGATAAGGTAAAAGGGCGACAGTGTCAAGTTTTTGAACTGCTCAATTGACAGAAATGTCCCAGCTTAATTGCAAGTTTACAGTGTCTCTCTTTATTCAGACTTTCAGCAAGCCTAACAATCGCGTGTGGTGCTTTTTAGGTTACTACATTAAAAAAAAAAAAACAGGACAACATAATTTTGTTTTGTATTTGTTATGCAAAATTTATTTTTTTCAAAATAAACGCATCTGATGTAAATATTTCCTCAATAACTGAAGAAGAAAAGCGTTGCTCGCTTTCCAAGTTACGTCCAAATTACAAGTCGTTAAAAAATGTAAAATGGTCTTCAGTGTCCCATTTTAATTATAACGCGTTCTGTTTTCATTAAATTATACCTCTGCAACGTATTGTTTGAAAAGTGAGGCCAAAGAGCTTTCTGGTGAAAAGGGATAGTGTTTACACCTTGAAGCAAATTTTTTTAAACTAATGTGAAAAGTTATTAATGCAATTTATTAGATCACCCACCTTAACAATTACAAGAGAAATTAACAACTATAATGTCACTAATGCATTTTAAGCTATAGTGCCATTGATAAGAATATTAGTTCATACTATATCAATATAAATGGCAGGGTACATAACCTCAATGTTTTTTTGCTGAAACCCTCCCATTTCAAAATTTGTTGCATATATTATATGTTTTTTTGCTGAAACCCTCCCATTTCAAAATTTGTTGCATATATTCTATGTTTTTTTTTTTGCTGAAACCCTCCCATTTAAAAATTTGTTGCATATATTATAGTTCAAAATGCAATGTTGAAATTAATGAAACAATCTTGTTCACGAGGAGTCACGACAGAGGTACATCTGTCATGTATCTCTGTCATACACAAACGGGTTATTCATGAGTAGTTCGGAAATGTTCTGTTTTTGTGCTTCTACTTTCAATATATATGTATTTGAGGATGAGACTTCGCTTCCATTTTCTTGCTACATACGTTGCGACACCTTCTCTGCGGTTCCTTCTGTTTAACTGACTCGTGCACGGACATAGGCTATCTTGGGGTGCCAAATCATTATTAATATTGCTATACTATATTATTTTTGTGTACCCCACATGCGTATAAATGCCCAGACGAATTCGATAAAATATAAGTTCAGCAAGATATTCTTCTGGGCGAACTATTAATTTATTTTCACACTAGTTCGCTCAAGTATCTTGATGCCTTTCCAGTGGTCTAACAAACCCAGATATAAATATAAAACATGAACAATATTTGAGATGAAGAAAGTAAGCGATACAACATCGAAGTATGAGTAAGTTATTTGCTTTAATTTGACCTTCAGTACCCACGTCGGCATAGGTATTAAGAGGGTATAACACATAGTACAAATACTTATAAAAATAACACACGAAAAGTTATACACAAAAGACAGATAGTGGTCATTTCAAAATCAAAAGTAATGCAGTAAAACACGGCGACATAAATATGACACCAGACAGCCTTGAAAATAGCTTCGGTTGGCTGCTCTTTGATTTGCCAATATTATCTGAACGTCCACATGAGGCTTGCTCGACTTCTAGTCGCGGCCAAAATACGAAGGTGAATACAAATTATCAGCACCCCGGTTTAACTCTTGTTGACCGCACTGTTATTTCAGCGCTTATCGTACGAGGTCGCTCCTGCGCAGGTTTGAGCATTTTAAGCCAGCTCGATTCTGACCGAGGTGCGAGAATAAAAGGCTAGCCCACTCGTGATCGGCACACGCGGGAGACCCACTGTTTTGGGGGGTCTGAGGGTGCGTCAGGTGCAGATATTCATCGAAAACTATACGCACAATATCAAGGAAGTGTTTTCTCCCAGAAAGTATGGTTGAGCAGACACACAAGCTCGAACAAGGACGCTGCACAGGTGTCAGCCATAAAGACAAAGCCGGACGTCGGTCAGCGCCCACGACTGATAATGATGATGACTTTGAGCTCGCACGAGAACTGATTCTGGCGTCTAGACGAATGACAGTGGATGATTATAATAAATTGTTCTGCAAATCAGCAAAGGCTTTGCCTATGAAATATTCTATGACAGGCTCGGGTTTCGAAACGTTTTGACTAAAATAAAATCTACAGCCATAGTGTGCGGATAATATTGAAATCACCCTCGTATTTTCTGCCTTAGATGTTTCGAATGTTCCTTCGCTAGCGCCCACCACGTGGCTCAAGCGGCGTGCTTGGAACACGGTTTGGGTTGCGAAGCTAAACCGTTGCTGTGTTCGGGTTTACTTTGTCCAAGAATCTGCGTCCTCCCGATGAAATGGAAGTTACAGCGAAGAACGAAACTTCGCACACTCCGTAAAAGCTTTAAGTCCGCGTACGTGACTTTCCATAAGACTGAACTTAGTTTTTTCTTTCTCCAAGAAAAAGAAAGCGGCAAACTCGGGTTAAGACGAGAAAGAAACGCGTGGAAGAAGGTGTCTTTTATTTTTTTATTGCGCGCATCTTCAGCCAGGCGTGCTGCGCGAGCAAGCATGAAGCTCTTCTAAAGAGGATCACGGGAGCATTTCCATTCCTCCCCCGAAGAGGCTATTTTTTCCCTGTTGGAGCAAAACAAGTTTTAGCCACGGCGAATAACAAGTCAGAAAGAAAAGCCGTAGCCTAAATAAATAACGCATCATTTTCGTTACAGAAAGAACACCAACCCGGAAACTGAATCAACACCGAAGAGAGAGAGAGAAGGAGAAAAAAAGAGTCTGGTCCTGGACCATCTTCTTTTCCTTCGTTCCCCGCAACTGGTGTTCACAAGGACCAACTCATGCTACATTAGGACGCTAGTATAAGGCGAATGATTATGCAAATGATGTCACATGAGATTCGTTCAGAGACGTGATTGGTCGGTCGGCGAACCACAACATTTCTTGCAACGTTTTGCTGTTCCCGCTGCTTTTTTTTTTCACGGAAAACGGAAAAGGGGGGGGGGGGGGGGGGTATAGACTGTCACGCAGAGAATTATGCAAATGATGTCACGTGACATTCATTCAGAGTCGTGATTGGTCGGTCGGTTGACCAGAGCCTTTCTGGAGGCTTTTTGTCGTTATAAAGACCGGCATCTCCCAGGAATGGACTCGTTTTCCTCGGATCCTTGTCCG